AAGATACGTATACTAGAGCTCTTACTTGTGTTCGAAAAGGAGGATTGACCAAATATTTTTTCTATTTATGTTGGATTACATCAGGGATCGACTTTAAGCCCATATCTTTTTGCTTTAGTTATGGATGGACTTACTGGACATTTACAGGAGGATGTACCTTGGTGTATGCTTTCTGCTGATGATATCCTTATCGTGGATAAGACGAGAAAAAAAACCCAGAAAAAACTTGAATTATGGAGGTATACATTGGAGTCTAAAGGCCTTCATTTGAGTAGAACTAAAATTGAATACATGGAATGTAAATTTAGTGGTAGTAGCTCTAGTGACATAAGTGTAACCTAAAATGTGTGAACGATTTAGATATCTCGGGTCTGTTGTTCAAAGCGATGGTGATATAGATGGGGATGTTAATAGTAGAATTCAATTTGGTTGGTTGAAGTGGAGGAATGCTTTAGGCCTTTTGTGTGATAGAAAAGTACCGCTTAGACTGAAATGGAAATTTTATAAGACGGTGGTGAGATCTACAATGCTTTATGGCGCTGAATGTTGTCCTTTAAAAGAGAAGCATAATACTAAGTTAAGTGTTTCCGAGATGAGATTGATTAGGTGGACGAGTGACTTTACTCTTAGAGACAAAATGCGAAATGATATATCTGTGATAGGGTTGGTGTAGCTTCTGTGATGGATAAAATTAGATAAAGTCGTCTTAGATGGTTTGGTCACATCAAGCGTCGACCATCTGATGATCCGATTAGGAGAGTAAATGTTTTAGATTCGACTTATGTTAAGAAAGACAGAGGTAAACCTAGGAAGACTTCGGCTTATTGTATAAAAAATAATCTTAATTTATTAGAACTAAATGAAAATATGACACTAAATAGGACGCAATGGAGTAAAAGGATTCATGTAGCCGACCCCACGTAGTGGCTACGTGGGATTAAGGCTTTGTTGTTGTTGTGGTATTTATCACTAAAAAATTCAATTTTTATCAATGTGAAAATTGTCAATTTATAAAACATGCTAAACATGAATATTTCAAATTGCAATACAAGACTTTACATCCTTTTTTGGTAATTCAAATTGATACCTAGGGACCCTCACAAGTAAATAATAAAAATATGACACGATAGTTTGTATCATTCATAGATGATCGCATGAGAACAAAATAAACATTCCTTATGAAATAAAAATCTAAAACAACTGCCATATTTCAATATTTTCATCTCATAATTCTCACCCAAAATCCAAATTCTTAAAACTGATAATGTTAATAAATTCTTTTATGCCATTCTTAGTACTTGTCTTTCCAAGCATGGTATCATCCAATAACTTCTTATATAGGTGGCACGTGCAATTATGTTATTTGATCACATGCTTCTTGTATAGGTGGCAAGTGCAATTATGTTATTTGATCACATGCTTAAACATTGAGAGAGAGGGGGGTGGGGAGATCCATTCTCACAACCACATATCTCATCAATAGGATGCCAAGTTGAGTCTTAAAATTTCGAGTTTTCAGCAATATTCTCATATAATCCTACCCACACATTCACTCTTTTTCTTTTGATTTACCATTGAAGATTTTTGGTTGTTCTATCTTTGTTCACATTCATCAACAACACTGCAACAAATTTGATTTCAAGTCTCTCAAATGCATTTTCCTCAATTACTCATCCAATTAAAAAGGGTACAAATGCTACTCTTCAACCACTAGAAAAATATACAACTTCATGATCATCACCTTCTTTTAATATCAATCTTACTTTCCCAAATCTAAAATTCAGGGGGAAAACTCGAGAGAATATTAGATTTGAGATTTTTTCCAAGATACTCCAATAATTTTTCTTTAACTGAACCAAATAATGTCCCTAAAAAAGCTTCACTTGCCTCTACTTCACCTCAACCAGCTCCATTTGAAGAACCAAATGCTATCACAAAGACAACCCCAAGTGCCTCTACACCTAAGCATGACACCAATGAACAAGAATTTCATTTCTATACCAAAAGGATATAGAACCATTATGTAGAGAACACTATGCAGTCTCGAGACTGTTAAGAGCCTGACCCAAGTCCTCCTAATAATCATAATGGTATGGATACCTCAACTCATGACTGTCTTACACTGATGGTTGATGACTTTAATCAACCAATTGCACACACGAAAGGTATCCAAGAGTGCATTGGTCATCCAATTGAAAGATATGTAGCCTATGAGAAGTTGCTACCTTCTTTTGTGACAAACCTTGATAATGTGCAGGTTCCCAACTCTATCCAAGTACCTTTAAAGGTTTCAACATAGAAACAAACAGTTGAGAAAGAATTTTGGGCTCCAGAAAAGAATAACACAGACACTTACAGAGTTAACACATGAAAAAAATCATTTAGGCTGCAAATGGATATTCAAGATCAAATACAGAGGAGATGGAAGTGTATGGAGATTCAAAGTCAAACTGGTTGCTAAGGGCTTCACACAGTCATACGGAAAAAAACATTTGCACGGGTTGCCAAACTTAATATAATTCGGGTTTTTACTCCCTTACAGTAAATCAAGATAGAACTTTATATCAATTTGATGTCAAAATGCCTTCTTGAACAGTGACATTGATGAAAAAATCAAAATGACTATACCGATCTTGAAAAATAGGTCGAACAACAGGTTAGTTCATAGGTTGAAAAAATTCTTATGACTTTTAAGCAATCTTCTCATACTTGGTTTGGAAAGTTTGTTTAAACACTTATTACAAATGGACATCATCAATGTCAAGCTGATCTTACTCTGTTTGTTGAATCTAATTTTAGAGGCAAAATTTCTATTCTCATAATATATGTAGATATTATCTTGGCAGGTGATAATTCAGAAGAAATTATCAGATTAAAAAGGATGCTTACAACAAAATCTGAGATCAATGACCTCCATAATCTCTAATATTTTATAGGAATGGTGGCCTGGTCTAAGGAGAAAATTGTCATATCTCAAAGGAAGTGGCATCTTAGACTTGTTAAATGAAACTGGCATGCTTGGGTGTAAACATCTTGACACACCTACGGATTCCAACAAAAGGCTACATAGAAATGAAGAAAGCAGTCAAGTTAACAAAGGAGATATCAAATACTTGTAGGCAAACCACTTTACTTATCGAATGATCCAAAAAAGTAGGTTTGTCAGCAAATCAAAGACTTGTGGGCAAACTGGCAACCCTAATATTGCATACTAAGTCAGTGTAGTAAGCCAGCATATGAATAACCAAATGAGAGTCATTTGGGAGCAGTGAATAGAATTATGAGATGCTTGAATATGACCACTAAAAATGATTTATTCTTTAAGAGATTTAAAAATCATGACGTTGAAATATACACAAATGCGAACTGGACAGGAGAGGTAATTGATAGTAAATTAACCACTAGATATTGTTTGAATGTATGAGGTAATCTCGTCAAATGGAGAAAAAACAAAAGTTGACTCTCGGAGAAGTGCATACTTTGAATATCATGTTATTGCATTAGAAATATGTGGAGAAAAAACAAAAGTTGACTCTCGAAGAAGTGCATACTTTGAATATCATGCTATTGCATTAGAAATACGTGAGAGAATGTGAATTGAAAGACTATCAAGAGAACTTAAGGTTGAAATGAAAGACACAATTAAGATGTTTAGTGATAACCAAGCAACTATTTGTATAACTAAAAAACTCATGCATAATGAAAAAAACCAAATCAAGATTGACTGACACTTCAATGAAATTGTTCAGCTCAGCAATGTTACCACACCAATCCAGACTGTTGATATTCTTACCAAAGCACTACCAAGGGTCAATCATGATTAATTAAAGTCTAAACTTGATTAATACAACCTAGCTTGAAAGGAAGTATTAGAAAGTGTCAAATCGCATTAGGAAAGAATCCTCATATTATATTACACTTATTATATTTTCGTTATTAGATATTTCCACTTTTCTTTTTTTTAAGGGATTCCAATTTTGGTTCCTTTCGGGCCTGTCTGGGATCACTTTCTGTTTTCTATTTTTGTTTTTATTTTTAGTCTTTTGTTTTTGTTTTATTTTTTGTTTTCTGTTTTTAGAAATTGTGTTTGGTATTGTTACGATTTATATGTTTCTAAAAATAAAAATAACAAAACATGTTTGGTTAGGGATTTTTTATTTTTTATTTAAAAAAAACTATACTTTTTATAAAATGTTTGGGTCCATGAGTGCTCCAGTTTTAAGCTCTGTCACCCATGACGTATACGACGTCTTCCTTGCTCCACCCAACATAAAACATTACTTGTGGTCGGGCGAGCAACAACGAACGACTACGGAAGATAGACGGTGGCTATGGTGGGAAGCGGCCGTCTACATTGGGCGGGGTGGGCGGCAGGCAACCAACGGTTTTGGCCAGCAGGGCCGTTGGACGGAGGCCGAAAGCGGGCAGCGAGTGGCGGAGCCTCGCAGAGGTAATGCTCCGAAAAACATGTTTTTAAAACAACAAAAACACAATTTTTGTATTTTTTAATGTTTTGAAAACAATCCTAATGTGTTTTAAAAACAAAATTAAAAAAAAAAAGAATAAACAAACACTATTTTTGGGTTTGTTTTTTGTTTTTTGTTTTCAAAAACAAAAGATAAAAAACAGAGTGTGATGCCAAACAGTGTCTTCATTATTATAAATATGAGGCAAGGTGTAATACATTGAAACTAGCAAGAAATAAAATTCTTTCCAAAGTTATACAATTTTACTTTTCAAAAAATGATAAAAGTGCTACTTTTTATGTGATATTAAGGATTAAAGTGCTATGTGTGTAAATATGAAAATTTAGGTGTGAGATATGCAAATACATAAGATACCCCTATAAAATTTTGCCTACCTGGGTCAAGTAAATAACGCATGGTTTTAAACTAACACAAGCAGATTAAAAGCACGAGTGAAAAACTCTAGTTTAAACTAAAATATGAAGATCAAAAGCATGAGAGCATGGTTTACGCCAAAAATTAACTGAATCTTACTTCTCCACAAAAGCCAATACCATTGCACTCCTTTCCAGCTTGGTTTTTTTCTTTCTATTATGTTGTGGGGAAAAAGAGTCAGAAGAAACTGCAGCAGAAGAACTCCAACACCATTGGTTACTTGATTGAAGTGCCACATTTGATACCTCCAAGAACTCTGCAAGGACGTTTTTTGATAATCATACAAAAAAGTTTGCAGAGTTTACCTGAAAGAAATCATGATATCTAGTGTTCACGAAAAACAAACATACTCCTTATAGAAAAAGGTATACAATAATAGCATTGCCTTTTGATTAGAAATACATTTCCTCCTAAACGGAAAGATGGATACTCAGCCAATGTATACTAAAAGCACCAAGCACCATCAAGGTGGTATGATTGCACAATGTCAACGGAAGGTGTTCAAGGCAACCAAAGAATATAGTCCCACTGTACATAATTGAAAAATAAGTTGGTGTAAAAATATTTCACCTATAGACTTAAACTTTTGGGTTGAAAATAAACTAGAAAAATGGTGTATACCAAACTTTGATCTCCTTTTGAGTTAGACTCTCTAACATCTTCACAAAGCTAATGGTTATGTTCGGATAGAGTGATTCGTGCGGTATGGAGCTCCCTTGAGTCTTAACTAATTATATTACGGTCAAGCAATGTCTGATAGCCAGTGACCCCACACAAGCACCACATAATCGAATAATCCCTTGGTGCATACGCTTGATGATATTTAAAATATAGAATATTCTTTTGAGTTAAAATGTAGTTTGATATAGAGAACACTTCATGAGGGAAAATTTGTTTAGACACATGAAAATAGAGATATTAATCCAATTTCAAATAAACAAAAAAAAAAAAAAAGTAAAAACACCAAGAACTTGGCCAGCATTCACCTATATGCCTTAGCTTTTGAATTGAAAATAGATTAGACTAAAAGTGTCTCTAACCCATCTTAGAGCACCCTCCCTAACATTAGGTGCCAATATAAAAACCACCCAAGTAAAGTGAGGTGCTACAAAAATAGCAATTTTGCTTAATATGCCTATTTAAATTATAAGCAATATTTTTTAGGAGTATAACATTGCAACCATCACATTAATCCATGAAAGAGAAAATAATATTATATGATTTTGTTGCATTCCAAGATTATAAAACCTTTCTAAATAGTCAATGTTAAAACCATTTAAAAATTTAAATAACTGAGAATAAATTACTCGTAGCATGTATGATCTAGGAATATCCCTACTCGTTCCTGTTATATCTTCATCTTCATCACCACCCATGCTCTAAATTACTGTCTAAAACTCTAACATTAACACTAGCTCTAACTTATTGCCTAATGTGAATTCGTATTTCCCCAACCGCTTAATACACTATTCTCATCCGCCCATATTAAATTATCATAAAAAATGTAGCTTATGCAATTAAAGTATTAGAATTCAACTCCAAAATCATGACAATGCTTTCACCAAATTAACTAGTGTCTAATGGTAGAACACTGGAGCATGCAATAACCTAGCAATCACACCATCATAAGAGATGCAAGAGGACCCAAGGTTCGACTCACCTAGGTGCCTAGCCAAAGTTCAACTTGGCTTTAGAGACACTATTTTGATCAAATAGGCTAATATAAAATTTACAAAGTTCCAACTTCATTTATTATTTGTCATTTCCACAAATAAATACTAGTGAGTAATATAAATAAGGACCTTTATAATAAAGTGAGAAAATAATGAACCAAATCAAGATAAATGTTTACCTAGACAGTTAAGGACTTTATAGTTACAGATTGTAGAAATCCAATATACATCCTAGATTGCCGAAGAGCATTTTTTTTGAATCAGCAGTGACTGTAGCCAGCTCTCCACAAATCCTGTGGCCATTCCAAGGCTATTTCGATGCAACGTCCAGCACAAAATAATTCCTAAAATGATTCTTGGTAGTTTTTCAATTCTCCAATAGTTATAAAACGCTGGCTTCCATTAAGGGTGCTGGTGCCATATGCCCAAATCAAAGTGATCATGAGTTTCCATATAAGGAGGATAAATATCAATATATAATGTTTTAATTCTAGGCTTTGCAGATTTAGAATCTTCTCTAATTTTTTGTTTTTGTTCTTTTCCATTTCTTCCACAAGACAAGCAATGTGAATATTTGTTTTTATTAGCTCTATAAAGTGAGAAAAAGAAGACTATTTCCCCTCTATTTTTCACGTAAATCTTTCTACTTCATACTTTATTTTTCCGTATGGCATAAGAGTTGCTCCTCTGAAAGTCATCCCTCATTAGTTTTTAAGTTATTCTTGTTACAATCTGGCTCGAGGTTTGGAATTAAACACGGCGTATACGGACGGTCTGATGGTGGAAGTTAAATTTTCCATATTCATTGTCTACAACTTATATCTAACAAATGAAAGAATCACTAAAGAAATTAAATTAAAACAACACAATTAAATTTAAATCATTACATGCTATCAACGTCTTATAAAACGTTTTCTATTTTATTGCTCAGCTTTTTAATTAATTAATTACACCTAAAAAGGTAGTGAATACTCACACTCTTAACTACATAATATAAGAAAAAAAACAATATGCATGTCAAGTAAGTTTTTAATAAATAAGTATAAAATATTTGATACTTTATGAATATGATCACTTACGATATTTAATGATATTCAATGTTTTTTACAATATCAATAGCATATCTATATCATTCTCTGTCTATACAACCGTCATAAAAGCATCGTTTAAAAATTATATCTATTAAGATACATCAATATCAATATTATTTTACAATTACATGCACGAGTACCTTAGTGTTCCTCTCTGACACCATAAAGGGGTGACCATCATAGTCAAAAATACACATGTAAACATACTATAACAACTTTATGTAACAATGATCATTTCATTCTCGTTTGTATAAGAGTCAATATATTTACACACGAATCAATATCTATGATAATTTAGACGATATTGAGTATGCATAACACTTTAACAATATGAACAAAATTCAATAGAACCATAAATCATGGGTATGTAGTGTTATAATATAACAGTAACAGTGAGTGCATTTGATCGAGAATAATTAAAATATTTTTATAGCATAAGAATATGAGCATTCACCTCAAAATCTTATGCCTTAACTTAAATCTTCAAACACACTTAATCTTGTCTCCAATAATATTTTGGAGCGTTATTAATATTTTCCTTTTAAAAAAAAATCAAATATCAACTTTCTCATAATTATTATACTCTAAAAATCTAACTGTAAGAAAATTTTTCATTATAAAAATTCTTGAAAAAATAAAAAAAAAATATTTAAAACTTTTTATGATTACTCAAAAAACAAAATAGTGAAAAATGACCCCATAAACAATTCCTTAAATGACATTCTTTTGGGAATTTTGAGGGCTTTGCCCAAATTCATTCCACCATATACAAATCAATATGAAAAATAAATGGGGCATTTGCATACATCCCACCCAATTTCTAAATATAACATATCTAACACCTATACTTTATTCTTTACATTTATACCACCCAAAATTTTCATATCACATCAAAAATATATGTAAAAATGGAAGTTTAGGTGTTAGATATGTAAATACATAAGAACTAAGTGGTATGCATGTCAATCTTCCAAAATAAATATATGCCAATGAGAGCTAAGATAAGAAAATTACATTTGAAGATGAAGTAAACAAATGGAAAAAAAATGAAGATTTACATACATACAACTCAATTCCTATGTATTTACATATGTAACACCTAACTTTCCATTTTAACATATATGCAACCGTACATATGACTTGGAATGTATTTACATGGAACCCGAACTAATTAGAAGACTAGAAAATAAAGTTAAAGTTTCTCTGCAACTAATAGTCACTCAAAAACACACACCATAGTCACTTTTTTTCTTTCAACCAAGAGCAGATTGATATGCTAAAAAAGGTGTTTAACCAACTTCAAACAATTTCACCGTTGCATGAAATCAGCACTTGATCAACGGCTCAAAATGGTATAGTCGTGAATGCTTTTACTTCAAAATAGAAAATTTTCAACAGTGGTTATAGAATTTGGTGAATTTGATCACATGACAGGAGATATCTCCTTATCACACAAAATACAATCCCGTTATAAGAACTACATTCTAAGGATTACAGATGATTTTTGCCGCCAATTTCAAAAACATCACCGCAATCTCTTATCTTCCGGCAAAATTATTAAAAATATGAACTCCAGTACTAAATTTTTCCTTACTCGTGAGTTTGAAAATGCAATCTCAGAAGGACAAATGGCAATGCTAAATAAAATGTTGGACAAAGCTAGACTCTACTTCTTGAATTATGAAAAAAACCCTAAATTACATATTACACATACTCAGTGTATATCTCGCCTTAAAGAGAGCACTATAAAGCAATGAAAGCTTGCTTGCTTATCCAAAATTAAGTATCTCGAGAAATTATTGCCTATCTTATTTATTAATAAAAATAAGAAGTCGTTTTGATACGAGACAATGCCAACTATTAAAACTCACCAAAAACGAATATTATAGCTATTCTAAATCCTCTCAAACTTTTTTCCTATCATTTATAGTAAAATATGAAGATCATCTCATGTTTACCAATATCTCATAGGCAAGGTGGTTAAATCTATTATCAGCGGTCATACAAACAATTACTTGAATTTCTTAATGAAGATAAATCTGAAATAGTCATATTGTTAAGAAATTCCATCACTAAATATAAACTCAATTTAAAGTTCTAGAAATTGAAATAGAAAAGAATACATTCATTCCATTCATGGTAACTATTTTTGCCAATAAGAGATTGTTAATGAAAATTCTTGTATTTATACCCCTCAATAGTATGAGATTGCCTAAGGAGAAATGGGCATCATTAGAAGCTACTAAATCCATTATGATCACTAGCAATGTTCCGAAAAAAACTTGGGAAGGGATACTATTAACCATTGCAACCTCATTAACAATATGCCATAAGAACCCTAAAATTCAAAATTGTACGTACTCGTCAAAAATTACCCCACAAATAATCTCATCTCCATTATTCCTTAATGTGTTCTTTTACCCATTTCATGTCAATCAAAGGAGGAAAATCTACACAGAAGTTATAAAACATAATTTATGGATTATTCTCCTAACTAACAAGAGTACAGGCATCACTATCCAAAGACTAATAAATGCTACAATATTATACATATAATATTTATTGAAATTTTCTCAAAACTCACATTCAAGGAGAAAATTCTAACTCTTTTAATGAATATGAGTTTTGTAAGAATATCTATCATTCTTCTTGGGCCTAAATCTCTCCTTAAACTACCGAATCTTATTCCCCTAACCCCACTGAAAATTCTCAATATCAAATACGACGAGTTGGATGCAATGGAATTGTTTATACTATATGATAGAAAAATTCAACTCGGTAAAGGTGATCGAAGCATTTCTTTAGGGCAAAACCACATTTATGGTCCAAAAATCCTTCATAATGTAGCACAAAGTCCGATCATCATGATTGATCACAAGAAAGTTTAAGTACAATAGTTTGTTTAAGATAGCCGACTAAAAAGTATATCTCCTATGATCAGCTTCATGCTTTGACAACAAATACTTCTAGAATGTGCATTCCCAATAACATCTATGAAGCTTTAAAAGATGATATGAGGAAATATGAGCATTGAAGAAGCTCGCAGACCTGTCAAAGAGAAGGAAATATATTGACAGCAAATGAATTTTCAATGCTAAATAAAATGTTGATAAAAGCATTGAAAGGTGCAAGGCTAAACTAGTAGAAAAAGAGTTTAAGCAAACTTACGAGATTGATTATCAATATACTTTTTCATGAGTTGCATGATTAATTCAACGTGGATTCTATTATTTCTTCTTGTGAACCAAGTATAGCCTCTTAATCAACTACATATCAAAATGTCTAAAATAAATCAATCTTGAAGTTATATTCTATATGAATATATGATATGACTTTGAGACAACTAAGAATAAAAATAAAGTCTGAACATGCAACAAATTTTTATATGAACAATCACCAAAAGCTTAGTTTGATAAGTGCACTATTATGATTAAACCATGAAAATTTTGGAGAAGGAATAATTATTATTCCTCTTCAATTTCTTAGAAAATGATTACAAGTTAAATAGAGGGGGACGACTCCCATATTAGGAAAACAATAATATCAATTATAACTCTCCATTGTAAAAAAAAGAGAAAAAATTTATGATATACTAATAATAGAAGATACTAAAAATAGAAAATACTAATAATAGGAGATACTAAAAATTCAACTCCCTCCCTCAAATTAGAGCATAGGTATCTGTCATGCCCAACTTATTTACAAGAAGCTTAAAATTAGGCCTGCACAGTCTTTTCGTGAAGATATATGTTATTTGTTGAGCAGTAGGGATAAATGACATGCAAATAACTCCACAATCAATATTCTCTTTTATGAAATGCCTGTCAATCCCCACATGCTTTGTGTCTGTCAATCTCTCTCGTCAATCACCAATTTTATGGATTGGGACCACTCGAGACAGTTGTGCCCATTTTGTTTAATAATCGTGAGATAAGATACTGGAATTTGTGAGTAGTAATTAATAGATGTGGGCATGAAATAAGCTGTAGGGTGAGGTGAAGTGGTTTCAGAATTACTGGAGTCAATAGATGTGACTGTGTTTCTTTGAAATCCGGTCATCATCACTGACTTATATGATGTCATGAGAGAACTTGTTGGGAGTTCACGCGGCTGTGAAAAAAAAAAGCAACGGCTAAAAAAAAGTAGCACAACCAGCTAGTGTCAGCTTCTGCTTTGACCACTAAGTTCTGTTGAGGAAAATACAACCACTTTGAATACAAAGTATGAACCAATGACTTTGAAGGGAGAAGACAACGACATCGAAGGAGTTGCACGACCAGCTACTTTGATCGTGAGTTTCGCCGACCGTCGCAATGGAAAAATCGAATGATCCTTCAGATGATGCTTCCAACGAAGGTGAAGTCAACATCTTCAAAGATGGAGGAAGATGTAACAAAGGTTCTAGAGGCTTCAAAGGAGAAACAGTGTCATGTGGGAAGGCGCAAGCAGCTTTGAAGGAGAAGCGGCATCCCATGGGAACAATAGTTTCGCACTCAACCGATCAATGCAGGTCCGATCTTCGCCCAGGGCACTTCCAGTAATCGTTTAAAATAACTAAATACAATGCAAGTTTTGGAGAAGGAAATCTATTATTCCTCTTCAATTTCATAGAAAATGATTACAAACTAAATTGAGGAAGATAACTCCCATATTATGAAAACAATAATATCAATTTTAACTCCCCATGATAAAAGAAAGAAACAAGAATTATGCTATACCAATAATAGAAGATACTAGAAATACAAAATACTAATAATAAGAGACACTAAAAGACAACAAAAGGCGAAGTATTTTAGGGATAGAATGATCACAATCAATTAATGAAAGAATCATCAACGGGTAAAATCGCAATCCTCATTATTTATGTTGATGCTATGATGCTAACTAATAACAATGATAAATAGATTAGCAAACTAAAAAGAACCCTAACAAAAGAATTTGAAATTAAAGACCTCACATGCTTAAAAATATTTCCTCATTATAGAAATTGCAAAATCAAGAAAAAGAAAAGATACATCTTAACAAAAATATAACTTCAACCTCTAAAATAAATAAATTATATGAAGTAACGCCACTAATACCTTAATAGATCCTATCAATAAAATTAGTAGACAAAGAACATTATCAATGTTTGATAGGAAAACTATCTACCTTTCTCACAGTAAACTTGACATCTGCTTCAGAATATTTAGTCAATATATGAATGCTCTGTTAAAAAGCATCATGATGTTGTTTACGAGATTTCAATATATTATATAAGTCACAAGGAAAAGCCCTATTTTTCAAGAAAGGAACTAATAGAAGTTTTGAAATCTTCATGGAGGCTAACTAGGCATGATCTATAACTGATTGTAAATCAATATCTAATTATTGGTCATTCGTTTGGGGAAATAAAAGTAAGACCCAGATAGTAATTGCTAAAAGTAACACTGAACCTGAATTCATAGCCATAACTCATAAAATTTATGGAGGAACATGACCTAAAAGTTTGCTAGAAGAAATAGAAATTCAAATAAAGAACCAATAATGATGAAATGTGATAAGTAAGCTACCATTAGAAGCACCAAAGAACCTATCTATTATGATCTAATATGATTGCACAAAATATATCAAGATAGACAGGCACTTGATTGAAAAAAAAAATCGAACACAAGCTTATCTAAGTGATCCACACCCTTACACAAAGTCTCAAACTTCTCATGTTCCACAAAACCCTCAAGTAAATACATTTTTAACAATCTTAATTTCAATTTATAAATGAACATGTCTTTCCAACTTGAGGGGAATTGTGAAAATATTATATCCAATCTAGAATGCCTATGAAATTTTTTGAAAATCAGCGATATTGTAGCCAACTCACCACAAATACTGCAGCCATTCCCAAACTGTATCAACGCAACATTCAGCATAACAGCATTTCTGGAATGATTCCTAGCAGATGTCAATTCTTCAACGGCTATCAAGTGCTTGCTTACATTAAGGATGATTCTGCTGCAAGCCCAAATCAAAGTGATCATGAGTTTCCAACTGAAGAGGACTAAGATTTTGTTTTAATTCTAGGATTTGTGTATTTATGAACTTCTCTATTTGTTGTTTTCCCCATTTCTTTTATAGCACAGGCCATGTGTATATTGCTTGCCATTAAGATTGAGTACAATTCCTATAAATTTTGTACTTTTCAACCTCTTTGGAGTACAACAACAACAACTACAATGACGACAACAAAGCCTTAATCCCACTGAGTGGGGTTAGCTACAAGATTCTTTGGAGGAAGAAAAACAAAGTTTTTCTCCTCTAGTTGTTCCTACAAGTCTTCCTGCTCTAAACTTTCTTTTTTCGGCGAAAATACACTTGCGTGGTTGGTCAGACTTTACATGTAATTTGTGCTCATGACTATGATAAATTAGGCAAATTCTGTTGGATGGGACTCTCAACGTGCAAACTTTCAAGACCAACATAATTTGTACAGTGGTTGGTTTGAATTCCAAAAGCAAAAACACATATTCACAACCAAGTTAAATTTAACATCATACGAAGCAAGCTCAAAAGAGGTTCGGTTATAAAATAATATCACAATGAGATACTAATAATCATATGAATCTTTCTTTCATTTACACTTTGGCTCCGTCAAGGTACTTTGCTCCTAACCAACACAAGAATTTACAGCATGGGCCATATTCCATTGGAAGCCACAACCTCAATTAAAAACATAGTGATACAGGTTCATCTTGAATCCTAATTTGTCTGTTCCTGAAGTACACTAGAGCTCACACGAAAAATGAGGAGAAAAAAAATAATAATAGAGAAAGCTTCAAAATTTTCAACAAGAGAAAGGCTTTGAGTATAAAAGCTTGCAACAGATAGTATTATCCTGGGATCTTCTAATTACCCCTTATTTATAGGTTGGAATTACAGCTTGAACACTATATAAAAAACTATATAATGGGGTATATGATTAATAAAAAGTAAAAAAGAAAGTTTATTGGCTATTTGTTGTAGAATATATGAGGTGTGTAGCCTGAGAAAGAGTCTAGGTCTGTAGTCGACAATGACGAGGAAGTTGTTAATTTCTTACAGTAATCTTCAAGTAGCTCTTGAGCTTGCATAACTATGTCACATATGGATCTTTTTACAAGTACACCATGAATCTAGTGAGCTTACAACAAATCAGGTTAGCTAGTTCACCTCAAATCCAGCTGGCTATATCACCTCGACTCTGGCTAGGAAGTCACTTTGGACCCTTTCGGCACGTTTTTCCTTGAACTTGCTGCCGAATTTACTTCAAAAACCAATTACTGAGTTCATCCTTGCAATATTTTGATGTACATTTAATTCTTTGGTTCTCTCAAATATTTAGAAAAGAAAAAAAGAATGATCATAAAACATAATCTTACTCGAAAACGAAGCTTTGCTCAGCTTTTTTCTTGGGAAGAACCTTTGCTTATCCGTGCCAAAATTTTTGTTCATTTCCATTGTAAAAGACAAGTTTATGGAGTAATGCATATTTATTATACAATAAAAAAGCGAAAATGTTAAATTTTTATCAATATTGAAATGTGTAATAGTTTGACCATTTGTTGCTTTGACCATATCAACACGACTAACCTCCCATAACTAGCCCTCCCATTTCTCATTAAAAGGATTACAAACACCTTTGATCGTCTTCTTCCTCCCACATTTGAGAGTTATATCACAAGATAAAATTAAGGACTTTGAGAAAGTCATGCTGCCAAGTATTTTAAAAAAGTAAAGAAAAAAAAAATCTCACGGAAGAAGAAAGCTAAGCTTGATCTTGCTGAGGCTGAGTAAAAAAACAAAGTCATCTCAACTTCTACGGCTTTTATACTGAATTTCACTACCATTGATTGATGGGTCAGCCCACTTTGAAGTCATTCTGAAGCGTTGAAGATCTTTCCGTATTAAATGAATTTTGAAAACTCGTTGATATTTTAATTTATTTATTTTTTACTTCAATGACAAATATATTTTTTGAAGGTGGCTTCGGCGATTTCAATTGTGCCTCCAAAGAAAATCAGAAGAAAAACTGAAAATTCTCCTTATGCCAATAAAAGCCACAAAATATACAGAAACAAAAATTCAAATAATCGTTTGAAAATATTCCAGTTTTAAGTGGCAATCCCTAACAGCAGCAAGTCTAATAAAAGGTCTGGTTCATCTCATCACCTTACCCCTTTCGACCAATTCCTCAAATCAGTCAATGCAATGCTATCCATATATACATAAGAACACCAATTTCTAAAACTTCGTAGGTTTTCCCAGTTCAAGCCGTATAATTAAGCAACTGCTGCAAAGGTAGACAATGAAGGAGAAACAAAAAGATAAATGAAGAGCATTTAGTTACTCTTTCTGGACCGAAGACACGATGATGAGGAAGTAAATCTCCTTGCAGTGATCTGCATGTGCTTCCAATTGATGAGCAACTCATCTCCAATCCATATAGGAGCCGGCGAGCATAATAACCTGCAGAGTGAAATTGAGATGGCGAAACCCAACTGAAAAACTGATTTCTAACTCTCTAATCTCTCCAGCCACCCGCTAATGGTCGACCAAATGCCAAAAATTTAAACGAAAAAGGAATTAGGGTTTAGTCCGACGAAAGGAGAACCAGGGTTTTAGGGTTACGGCTAGGCGTAAGAGAAAACCAGTTAATCAGAAAATTCGAATAGAATTAATTAATTAATTAAAGGAAATTTCATTTTCACTTATCAACCATTCAAAATTTTAAATATAAAGGATTGGCCAATCAAATTTAAAATTTTACTTTTTCAAAAACTACCCAAAACTTTAAATAAAATGGATAGGGGTGTAAACTAGCAGAGCTTGAGCGAGCTTAGGTTGGGTTTGTGTTTGGCTCGTTCGAAATTGTTCGTGTTCGAAATCAGCTCTTGTTTAAAATTGGCTCGTGAACAGTATGTTCATGTTCGGCTCGATTTAAGTATTATTATTTTTGTTCGGCTCAAAATTGGCTCATTAAAATTAATTGAAAAAAATAGATATATAGTGTTGGATTCAAACTTAAACCAAATCTATGAAAAAGTAGACACATAACTCATTATCACAAGAGCTGTTATGATTTAAACTTAGATATAAATATATATAATATATTATTATATAAATAATAAAAATAATATATTATTATATAAATAATTATATGATTTTTTATTTCAAATTAAAACGAGCCGAACACGAGTGAACAAAGAGTTGCTCGTGCTCGGCTCTTTTAAAATTTCAGCTTAAAAAAATTGCTCATGTTCAGCTCATTTACTTAACGAACAAGCCGAGCACGAGTTGTTCTCGAACAGCGGCCTTTTTGAAAGCTCCACCAACTACCAATAGCCCGATGCCTATGCACTGGTCTCTAAGAAAAACGAGCAGCGCTTGCACCATGTAGGGCGCTTAGGCGCCAAATGGTTGGGACATAGGAACCGACCTTTCTATTTTCGAGCCCTTATAGATACAACTTGAAATACTTTAGCTCCACGCTACATAACAGTTCTCAGTGCATAATTGTAATAATTTATTATATATTAAAAATTAATTATACAAATTAAATTTTTTTTAATTAATATCATATTATATTAGCTTTTTTAAAATCTTGTAACTATGAGTGGATATATGTTTAATGGTTCAATTGCTTAAACAAAATTTGAGTGTATGATCTTCCCGAGAAAAATATTGATTATGTAGTAAATAAAAAAAAATTTAAATATTTAAAATAGTGTTATATGAATTAAATACTTTAAAAATAAAATATATAATGATAGAAATGTATGAAATTATTAATGATTGTATTTGAATTATATTTATATTAATATTGAATTATATGCATTGTGTGCTAACAACTTATAGTGGTTGAGTAAAAATTTTAAATTCTAACTTTACATGAATAGATGGATGTTGAGGAGAACAAGGTATAAAAATTTATTTGAAAAATCTACAAAGAGAAAAACCCACTAGACTTTGCCAAGGTTAAATAATCCACTATATTGGTTAACATTATAGAAGTCTATTATCCCCTTTATTTGGAGATGACATCATTACAAAGTAATACCTTTTGCACAAGCTTGATTTATAGTAACTATGGTGAAAGTAGTAAGAGTTAAAGGTGGCATTTGGGTGATAATGATTATGTGGCAATAGTGAAATGATGAAAAACATGACATTATTTAAGAAATGATTATTGAGTGACGATAATCAGACAATGATGAAAAAATGTGAGATAATGATTGTTGTATGATAGTTGTCGGTTGATGATAATTGGATGTAGTAATTGAGTGATAGTAATCAGACGATTGTAATCACTGGTGATAATTAATGGTGTTGAAAGTTGGGCAAAACTAAAGAGTTTTAAATCCTCAAGTTCTCTCCAAACTCAAAGTCAAGACTCCTTTATGTGGAAAAAGAATTTATTTAAAAATTTTGAGAGTGATATTTGAGTAAACCCAACTAAAATTTAAAATGCTTCATCAAATGACACATATTGATTCATTTGATCATACTATTTTTTTGATATTTAGCCACCTTGTTGATCTAAATAATGAATGAGCTTAGGTGCATTAAATTTCTTTCATTGAAATACCTGATTTGTTTATAAGCATAAAAGATTCAAAAATTATTTATCCCTTTAATTAATATCTCAAAGTTTCCAACCATTCGTTAAATGGTCTTATTTGGAATTAGATCAGACACTTTGGTATTCTTAACTTTGCTGATCAAGATGATCATTTTATTATAACTTTGCTTATCAAGATGATCACACTACTTTGTAAAATTTAATTTGATTACGATCCTTAATTTAGCATCCCTCAATCAGCTAAAAACAAAATTTTAATCTCTTAATCAAAGAGGGCAAACTATAAAATTGGACCACTGCAACCATGTAATAGCACACCCATAGTAGAGGTACACAAACATCAACGTCATATATAATGTTGAATATGTATTTTTTTCTTATAACTCTAAATTTTAGTGAGAATAACCCTTTTTATTTTAAGGAATATGATAGATATGCAAGTGACCATTCCCATATAACATAATATTACTCTCTCTAAATATGAGAGAGGAGTAAGCAAGTGAATAAGAAAATAAAACATTTTTTAGAATAAAATAACAACAAATATACCACTTTATGATTAGAATTTGAATCACATTATGTTTACATAAGAATATCTCTACCTAAGATATAAAACTTCATAAGTAGCTTAAAAAAATTGCATTTAAAGGTGAGATTATTTGTTATTTTCTTGCTCAAATATTATTTATATTAACATTATAGGATCGAGGATATATACAAATTTAATCACATATAAGAGGAAATGTTAATATAAGTAGAGTATCTTAAAGTACAATTTTTGTGCCAAGTATGAATGCCCTATGATACTTCTCTAGTAGGATCAAACTCATAATAAGAGTTGAAAAATAACTTAAATGTCTGGTTTATAATTGCTCCCTCAAGCAATAAAATCATTGTGAAAATTAAAAATGAAAAAA